GTATTTTTCGTTATTTATTAAATGAATATGTAATTTCTCTTACATTTTAATAACTACTATAATTTCATTGAAAACATTCTTCACCACCGACTCCAGACTTCGGCGAATGGATTCTCACAGTCGATGACGCCGTAGATAAAAATGCCACATCATTTATGAACAAAACTCAAACTTACAAAAAACCATATATAAAAACATATCTAATGAAACTTAAACAACGAATATTAACTTAATTAAGATTATTTTTAAATTGATAAATTGTTTAATACAAATATAAATACTATAAATAAAGAATTATATCAAGTTTTGACATACGATATAAAAACTATTTACAGCAAAAAAAAAGTAGACACCTACTTTTACACACTAAAAAATATATTACAACCTAACTGTTCCTATAAACCTTACTTCGCATATAAATAATATTTAACACATTAGATATACAATATTTTCACTTTACACTTTTACTACATTCTTTCCATTTCATTATTATTTAGTTTCATTAGAAGAATCCACTAAACCACTAAATCGAAAAAAATATACGCAAACATAATGATTCCAGCCCCGCGCTTGCGCGGGGAGTATGCAACTAGTTTTTAAAAGTTTTAACTTTGAAAAAAAAAACATGATTACTCGATTTTTTAAATGTGGCATACTGGCATTAATGAAAAAAAATTCGAAAACGATTTGGAATCTATATTATAATAGTAGACTTTCTAGGCTCCACAATGCGCCATGTCAGCAGTTTTGTGGGTCCCATAAGTATTTTTAAAAACCCATAGTCTTGGTAAGATGATTGAGAATATTGAAATACACTTTACCCAAGTGGTATAAGATGTCTAATTAAATATGCAAGGTTGTGGGTTCAAACCATGCAGCTATCATGTTTTTTTATTTTTTTATTTTGGTTATTATCATATGGGCTTTTTGTTTATAAGGTTTTTATGTTTTTTAGGCTTATTGTTTTAAAAATCAAAATAGTTGGATAAACCCTAAATCTTAACAAGTTCAAACCCAAAATAGTTAAAATTAGATCCAAAAACAAACAAGAAAAAAAAAGCAAGTCTCACGCGAATGGTTTAATGAGCCTTAAAACTATCGTATAATATAGCTCAACCCAAAAATATTAAAAAATGGATTCAAAAACGAACAAACCAAAAACATAAAAAAGTGAGTCCCACGCGGCTGCCTACGTGGATGGCTTAATAAGGCTTTGAATAATATAGCTTAAGAGCTCAAAAAGTTAAATCATTGCACATATTTCCTAATATATATTTCCAAAAAATTTGTATGTGAGATAAAATAAAAAAAACAACAAAATTTAATTATTTTTCGTTATTTATTAAATGAATATGTAATTTCTAATACATTTTAATAACTACTATAATTTCATTGAAAACATTTCTCACTATCGATTCCAGACTCCGGCGAATGGATTTCCACAGTCGATGAAGCCGTAGATAAAAATGCCACATCATTTATAAACAAAACTCAAACTTACAAAAAATCATATATAAAACCTATATAATGAAACTTAAACAATGAATATTAATTTAATTAAGGTTATTTTCAAATTCATAAATCGTTTAATACAAATATAAAATCAAAATAGTTGGATAAACCCTAAACCTTAACAAGTTCAAACCCAAAATAGTTAAAATTGGATCCAAAAAAAATAAAAAAATAAACAAGTCCCACGCGGTTGCCTACGCGGATGGCTTAAAGAGCCTTAAAACTATCCTATAATATAGCTCAACCCAAAAATATTAAAAAATGGATCAAAAAACGAACATACCAAAAAACAAAAAAATAGTGAGTCCCACACGGCTGCGTACGTGGATGGCTTAATAAGGCTTGAACAATATAGCTTAAGAGCTCAAAAAGTTAAATCATTGCACATATTTCCTAATATATATTTTCAAAAAATTTGTATGTGAGATAAAATAAAAAAACAACAAAATTTAATTATTTTTCGTTATTTATTAAATGAATATGTAATTTCTCTTACATTTTAATAACTACTATAATTTCATTGAAAACATTCCTCACTACCGATTCCAGACTCCGACGAATGGATTCCCACAGTCGATGACGCCGTAGATAAAAATGCCACATCATTTATGAACAAAACTCAAACTTACAAAAAATCATATATAAAACCTATATAATGAAATTTAAACAACGAATATTAACTTAATTAAGGTTATTTTCAAATTGATAAATCGTTTAATACAAATATAAGTACTATAAATATAGAATTATATCAAGTTTTTACCAACGATATAAAAACTCTTTACAGCAAAAAAAAACACCTACTTTTACACACTAAAAACTATATTGTAGCCTAACTATTCCTATAAACCTTACTTCGCATATAAATAACATTTAACACATTCCTAATATATTTTCAAAAAATTTGTATGTGAAATAAAATAAAATAAACAACAAAATTTAAGTATTTTCGTTATTTATTAAATGAATATGTAATTTCTCTTACATTTTAATAACTACTATAATTTCATTGAAAACATTCCTCACCACCGACTCCAGACTCCGGCGAATGGATTTCCATAATCGATGACGCCGTAGAAAAATGCCACATCATTTATGAACAAAACCCAAACTTACAAAAAACCATATATAAAAACCTATCTATTGAAACTCAAACAACGAATATTAACTTAATTAAGGTTATTTTCAAATTTATAAATTGTTTAATACAAATATAAATACTATAAATATAGAATTATATTAAGTTTTGACCTAGGATATAAAAACTATTGACAGCAAAAAAAAAACACATACTTTTACATACTAAAAACTATATAATAGCCTAACTATTCCTATAAACTTTACTTCGCATATACATAACATTTAATACATTATACTCCATTTGTTTCATAATAAGTGTCATTTTAGACTTCGGCACACGAATTAAGAAAACAATTAATTTTGAATATTTCCTATATAAAAACACAATTACCTATACACCTAACCATATTTTAACCAATAGAAAAATAGATTACAGAATAAAGTTAATAAATTTGCATTGAATACCGAAAATGACACTTATTTAGTAATGAATATTTCTCTCTACAACGACACTTACTATGAAACGGAGGGAGTATATACAATATTTTCACTTTACACTCTTACTACATTCTTTCCATTTCATTATTATTTGGTGTCATTAGAAGAATCCACTAAATCAACAATCGAAAAAAATACACGTAAACACAATGATTCCGGCCCCGCGCAAGCGCGGGGATTATGCAGCTAGTTGTCTTAATTCAAGAGCTGGGAAATCAAAGTTGAAAAGATTGCGTGAGAATTAGTGTCCAAATTATTAGACAATATATAAATATGATTGTTACAGGATGTGATTGGTTGGTACAAGTTTATGTTTGCTTGACAGCAAAGAAAATATATGGTTTTTGTAACTTTAAGAAAATACATATAGTAATATTAAAAAAACACTTTTCATCATTAAATTTGTTTATTAAATCAATAAATACTGTGTGTTTGAACACATGAAAATCTGAATCCAGTTAAATAAGTTTATGGTTCCTGAGGAATGATTCCTGTCGATCATGGTTTCTTTACAACTCTAAAGGTTTAGCTTTCCATTAAACATTCGGATTTTTGTTTTCGTTTTGCGCTTTTCTGTTTGTAATCTTTGTGGTTAATATAACCATTCTAAAGTGAAAAAATCACCTTATGAGCTATTGTTCGTTTTGACACTCCTATGTGTAGCTAATCATATACTCGGAATACTCCTATCACTTATGACGTTAAAAAGCGTATATTAACACTTACAGAAAACAAACTATACATAGAAAAAGTGTATATTACATTATTAGATATTGGATAGATAACAAAGATAAAAGGAAAAAGATTTTTAATCACTAGGAAGACAAAAGCCTGCTCCACTTTCCACTCGTGAAATGTTCTCCATTTCCTTCCAAGATTGTTCTCTTTGCCATTACACATGTATTAACTTATATATACACTCCCTAACATACGTGTTTTCTTCATGTGACTAGTGAACCCACGACAGTGAAAACTCATCTTTGTCTTCTACTCTCAAAAGTTGATTCTGGTTATTAAAAATTGAAAATTAAAATAATTGAGCCAGAAGATCAACATGAACTGCCTACGCTTATTAAAAAAATGTATTGTGGATGCGGACCATCAGATCTGAATTTTCTGGTACAAAAATTTAATATCAACAATTGTTTAAGTTTGTAATTTTATTAAATTATCTAGTAATTTAATATTACCATATATATGCATTGTATGTACCTAATTATTAGCTTATGTTTTAAGTTGCATTCGTCTCGTATTAAGTAAAAATTTATAGCGCTGATTTAACACTAAAACTAATCATTGAGATGGACTTAACATCTAAGATTTAATGTAATGTCATTTTTAACAAAACATGATTTTTTTTTTGCTCAAGAGATCATTAACGACATAATCACGTCCGTCTGAAATCCCACATTGTAACATATATTACATCACAGTATTATGCAATTTTTATTCAATCATTAAGAACACACACAGAAGCTGATCGTAGCAAGTTATGCAATTTTATTTAGCTCCCTAGGAGCATCTAAATAGTAAATACAAAAAGGCAAGTAATTTTTCTATTAATTACTATCATGATGCATGTGTTGTTCTCTTCATCGTTAATTAATCTTGTGATAAACATGTCTTAAGTCTTACAGGAAGACATAACTTTCAGCTATTTCTTTTTATCCGACAAGCTCAATATGGTTATTAACGAGTTTACGTCCTTAATTAGCTTTCTAGCCGAGCTCACCGTGCCACGAGAACGGTTTAATAATGACATAACTGTGTGCGCTGATATATATATATATATATATATATATATATATATATATATATATATATGTATATAAACATTGTATCCTTATAATTATATAATATTCGTACCCAAATATGTGTATATAAGCTTGAACCCATCAGCAAGCTTCTTCACAAAAACCCAAACCATACTAGAATTTTGTTTAATAAAAAAAGATGGGTTTCAACTTCATTCCTCTCCTTCTTTTTCTTCCACTTCTATCAATCACTATCTTGTCGGGATTCGAGCAGACTTTGGCTTCCGACAACACCCTCATCGTGAACACCAACTACCGCAACAGCACGGAGGACGGTGGGATGTCGTCGCTGAGAGGCAAGAAGCAGAGGAGTGGATGTAACTTGTTCCAAGGCCGGTGGGTCTTCGATGCTTCTTATCCTTTCTATGATTCGTCCTCGTGTCCATTCATCGACGGCGAGTTTGACTGTCTCAAGTTTGGTCGACCAGACAAACAGTTCCTCAAGTACTCATGGCAACCTGAATCTTGCACTATCCCAAGGTCACTACTTAAACTATTCACTTATATGTTCACTATAGTAACAAGAATTTGATTGGTCGGTATTTCTAAAATCTCATTACATGCAATGCTTAGAACTTTTTTCCTATTTAGTACGTTTTTTTGCTATATATAGTTATAATTTTGAATAATTGTGATTTCCTATGTACGTTATGTTTTGTATACTTATTAGAAGTTAGTGTTGGTATGCATATATGTACTTTGTTTGGTAAACCGTAAACGTGGTTGTGACACACATCGCATTGAAGATCTTTAATGTTCTCCTTAAATATGAAAAGAAGTATTTATATTAATGTTATATAGTATATAATGAAAGTGACCATGTAGATTTCGTAAATAGTCTAAAATGGCAACGAGCTGTGATATATTATACTAATTATTAATGTTAATTACGTAATTAGGTTTGACGGTGCGGCGTTTCTGAGGAGATGGAGAGGGAAACGAGTCATGTTCGTGGGAGACTCACTGAGTCTGAACATGTGGGAATCATTGGGTTGTATGATACATGCGTCGGTACCAAAAGCCAAGACAACTTTGGTTAAGCGAACCCCACTCTCTACTATCACTTTCCAGGTCTCTTTCTTTTCTTAAATAAAATTGTAAATCTGCGTTCTTCGATAAATACAAAATCTAATTATCAATCCTCACGAGGAATAGTTGTCATTAACGAAAATGAATTGGCTTGTCATAAATACTAAACGTTTATTAATCATGGACTATATAATATATTCATCTTTTGAAAAGAAATGAAAAGACTGTATGGTGCTAATAATGCTTATTATCATATTGCTGGTAGTGTTCAATCACACCCACTTGCTTGCAGCCTTTTTTGTTTAATAAACAAAGTTTTGATTTTTCATCTATAATTCTACATTATGAGAAAAGTGACAGTACATGAGTATATTAATAGGTATAGAAGATAATTCGATATAAACAAGGAATTTTCCTATTTCGTGAAAGTTTTAATTTGTTTTTATATATTCGAAAGCTAGTTTTTATGTTTACCAGAATTGTGCAAAGTTCTTTATCATTCATATATTTATGAAACTGAAAACAATGTGAAATGACATCTTCTTCACCTGATGTGGAAGAAAATGAAGCTATGGACCTCCCAACTTTTTCCTTTTATTTGCTTAGAATTAAAATAATGTTTCCACTACTTTTTATTTTCTTACCATTGTGTCAAAATTTTGTTTTATATTCTTGATACCATAAATAACAATAAAAACAAATATAAAGGACGTATTACGTAAAGGAAGTACACTAACAACAACTCCAACAGTCCAACTTGTTTTTTACTTTTCCCTCTGACTGCTTTATACTGCTCTATTTGTTCTGCAAAACCTTTTTTCCTTTCATTTAAGAATTCACTTATTTTTTTAATTAAAATAGAAAATTTAAGATCCCTGAATCTATTTTAATTTTAATTTTATAAAACAGGAATATGGAGTGACGTTATACCTATATAGAACACCATACATAGTGGATATATCCAAAGAGAAAGTAGGGCGTGTGCTTAACCTTGGAGCCATTGAAGGAGGTGCTAATGCTTGGAAAAACATGGACGTCCTTGTTTTCAACTCTTGGCACTGGTGGACTCACAAAGGTCAATCTCAAGGGTCGGTACCAATGATTAACCACATCTTTAATCTAAACCCAGTATATATAACTTAATGTTGAATCTTCCTTTTCTTTTCTTAATGTTTAATTTAAATTTAGGTGGGATTTTATTAGAGATGGGTCTTCTTTGGTGAGAGACATGAACCGTCTTGACGCTTTCTACAAAGGACTTACTACTTGGGGTCGATGGGTTGATCAGAACGTCGATACCACCAAAACCAAAGTTTTCTTCCAAGGCATTTCCCCCACTCACTACGAGTAAGTCCATTTAAATTGCGATTGTTTCGCATAAGCAAACACAAGCAAACAAGCAAGATGTATTTGTGTACCATTTTCTATGGTTTGAGAAACAGAGTTCAAACACAATCCATATAGATTTTTTATGTTTTTCTTGTGGGTGACAGGGGAAGGGAATGGAACGAGCCAAGGAAGAGTTGTAATGGGCAAATGCAGCCGTTGGATGGATCAAATTACCCAAGTGGCCAGCCTCCATCTGCAGGAGTTGTGTCCAAAGTGTTGAGTTCAATGAAAAAACGTGTGTTCTTGCTAGATATCACCACTCTGTCACAGCTGAGGAAGGATGCTCATCCTTCTACTTACGGTGGCGATGGAGGAAATGATTGCAGCCATTGGTGCCTCCCCGGGTTGCCTGATACTTGGAACCAACTTCTCTACGCAGCACTTTCGATGTGAAATGAGTATCAAGTAAAGAATCTCTACAAAGAAAAGTGCAAGCACACCTTCATTCTGTAAATTACATTCTTGGAGGTGCAAAGAATCTGACAGTTTGCTGTGGGTGTAGAGAGTTAAGTGAAGAGTAGGGTGGATCGTAAAGCGCCTTTATATAGGAGAAAAAAAATGATCTTAAATTTGTCTAGTATTGTGTGACTATATAGCATGAGATTAATAACAAAAAGAAACATTCTCAGTAACTCTGTGCTTACTTTGATTTATGTAGATCTCAATTGAAATAGCTTTGGATCACAATGAAGCAAAAGAGTTTTCACACTCTCATTAACAACACTAATAAAGTATCAATGTAACATAAACATATATAATTCACATCCAAAAGCTACCTGAAGAGGACTGCCATACACTAACATTACTCACATTCTCACTCAATTCTCCATGTGGGATTCTACTAATAGATCCTCTCACATTCTTAACTAAGGCATCAGAACGTAAAGTTTGTAACATTATGCCACAACCAAGAAACTAAAACCTTTGAGCTTTGATACCATATTACTAATGGCCATAACCACTTGCAAAAACAACCTCAAAAAGTGAATAATGCCACACACACACTGATACCACACTCCAATTCTCACTCAACTCCTCCATCTACCGTTCTAACAACAAACATGACTCTAACTAAAAAGAGTGATATAAACTTCTCAGATAAGATCCAATTTTACAACAATATTATGAGATCAATTTGAAAAAAAAATTCAATCGAAACTGAATCCCTTCTCTTTAAGGACCTGCACGCAGCTCTTTTCCTTCTTCTTCTCAACCTCTCCATCCTCCTCAGTGCTCCTCGAGTTCACAACAATGGCTTTCACAACATCCCTCACAGGTATCTTAAGCTTCTTCGCCGGCGTCTCCTGATTCTCCAAATCAACTCTCGATTCAACAGGAACCGTACGATCCTCCTCTGAATCAACGGTGGTGGTGCTAGGGCTTTCCGGTGGAGAGACGAATCGAACCGCGTGGCTCTCCACGTACTCCTCTACTTCGTAACCCGGATTGATCACGCTAACGGTCACGGAATCGTGTGGAGGTGAGATTCCGTTGTTTAACGGTGACGGAGATTGAGAGAGTCCGAGGATGGAGGGATCGGAATCTGGAGGGACGCCTCGTTGAGCGAATCCGCAGCGTCGTAGGAAGATCTCTTGAGAATCGGTTTCTTGACAGTTATCGAAGATTGAATTCATCTTCTTATTGTTCCCTCTCATCGTCTCTCCAAACTAAAATTGTTTTGGTTTTCACAGGTAGGTATGTGAGTTTATTGATATTTATTACAACTTTCTAGGGTTTAAGGTGGGAAAGTTTTCCCGCTTAAACTGTAGTTTACCTACCAAAACGTGTTTATTTATTGAACGCACCGCACCAAACGCTGCAGCGATTTAATGATTCGTGTCAAGTGTGATTCAGCGTTAATCAAATGTTTTTCAATTGTTGTTGCAAATGGTAAATTATAGAAAGTTTTGTTTTTGGAACCAAAACAAAAGTGACTACAATGTTGTCTTTTTTTTTTAGATGGTAACTGAGGAGTTAAACACGATAAGAAGAAGAGAGACTAGTAGCCAACGTAAACGGCGACATTGACAATGTAGCAGTCTTCGTTTTTATCACCCATTTCTTCTACTAGAACGCCGCTTGAGCAGATCAGTCCTCCATCCACCACCTCCACGTTTACAATCTCCCCACTTTCAAATAAAAAGCACCACCAATTAAAAGAAACGAACAATCTTTAAAACAATGGTAGATTAAGGAACACAAAGAAAATAGTTGATAACAAGATATTATCCAGTGTTGGAAGATGGTGGTTTCTACCTGAATTGTTCCACAACACTACTTGGAACATAAACTCAAGTTTCTTCCAAAAAAAAAAAAAAAAAGAGACAACAAGATTGTTTAAAACTTACTAGGGGAAGATAGACTTGACCTTGTCAAGATCCAGCTGCTGGTGAAGAGAACGAGGCACTCCAAGCTTGATCTGTAACTTCATTTCCCCAAATGAAACTCCAGGAATCGAACCTGAAACACACACATATATAAACATCCACTAACTATATTTTCAGACCAAAGCTTCTGTCGGAATTGCTAAAGAAACACTTCCATTGTTGAATTAATTTATAAATTAGTTTCAGAACTATACTAATCACTAATAACAATGATACCTCTTCTAAAGGCAGGAATCGAATTAGAAGAAATAGCATTCTTACAAGCCTTCATCGCAGCAGATGTAACGTCTTGCCTGTTTTCACCATTTTTTTTTCGAACATTCAATCTCACAATCTGTCTATGTCAAGACACTTACCTTTTCGAGAGTAGAAAGAAACTGAATTTGTACGTACCCGTGCTGATCGTAACCCACACCCATCTCTACGAACAGTAACTTCATCGTGTTGTTGGGAACACCACGGGGAATTGTCTCCGCCGTCGTCTCCATGGCGGTGGCTTTGATCGGGCGTGGGATGATCTCGCGGTGACTGTTGAAAGAGAGAGAAAGCGATGAAGAGATTGACAAATACGAGGGAGATTGACGGAGACGAAGATCGGGGGAGGTAAGAATCGAGCCAGGAGTAATCAAGGAAAGAGACATTATTGAATTCAATTACTTTACTTGACTGTTTTGTTCTGTTCTAAATGTTTTGAGACGAATTTGAAAGAAATGATAAATAAAGGGTGTCGTTTGTCAAAGCTAACTTTCAATGAAACGACATCGTTTGAGGAGAGATCACAAAACCATCTCGCTCTTTGCCTCTTTTTTAAGGAGTGGTTTCCCTCCAATTGCTCAAAAAAAAAAAAAAAAAAAAAAAAGGTTTCCCTCCAATTTTGTGGATGGACTTGAAGATGCAACATAATTTGTTTCGCCAAGTTTCTGAGGTGAGAATTGGATGTCAACGACACAATTTAAGGTTGCATATGATGTCCGACATGTGGCCAAGGCTACACTGTCGCATTAAAGCACCGTCTTGAGTTTGCTAACATTTCTTCTTTGGAAGGTTTGTCATTTTTATCTTATGCTATTGTAGATTATGTTTTCAATAAAAAACGATAGACAATTCCGTAGCATTTGTAATTAAGCAAGATGAAGTTAATGAAAAAAGTTGTGTTAAAAAAAATAAAAATTATCTTAGAGGTAGAAGTAGCCATAAAGATATTTTGTTCACTTGCATCATTTCTGGCTGTTCGAAAAAAAAACAAAGCCAAATCTTTTGGCATGCAGATCTTTGTTTATTTATTTGAACTACAAACTGAAAAAGATTCAAAGTTTTGAAAATTTGCTTAGAAAATCAGTTTTTTATAACTTAAGGCGAAGATCAATGCCGTGATCAGTGCCCTCAGTTTTCAAACTAAATGATAGATCTTGGTCGCGAGTACTCTGCTCATCATTTGAGGACAAGAAGCTGTAGAACGGTTTTCTGTTTGAGGAAATAGCAGCACTGTTCCTTTGTGGCATGATGTCATGATAAAACCCCTCCTTCTGTTTATGTTAAAAAAGAAGGATGAAAATGAAGCTGAAATAGATCAACCAAACTGATAGAAACATATAGAAGAAACTGCATTACCTGCATGGAGTGCGGAAAATCGAGTGAAAATGTTGGCATAATTGGTTGTGTAGGAAGAGTTGCTGGTGAAGGAGAATCAAAGGTGATTGGATTTCTAATTGTGGTTCCTGAATCTTGAAAATGATTTTTCAGTTTTCGGTCTAGTGACTTGATTTGTTTACCATCTCTGAAAAATGAGATAGTGTCAATTAAATTTATACTAAAAAAATTCTAAGTAGAACTCAGGAAAGTGACTGAACCTAAAACCAGACCTTGGGATGGTTAAGGTCGGTCCAGTGTTACATTTTCTAGTCTCTGCGATAACTTGCCATGACCGTTTTGCAAGCAAGATCTGTTGAGGAATAATCAAAAGAAATTAGTTAGAACTAAACTCAAAATAATTACTTTAATTTTTGTTTTTAAGAATTAATTAAAATTATTTTTTGCCTTCTCATGGTCTGAAAAATTACAGACATTCTGTTGGCAAGATGTTTGGTTTGAAGGGGGCTCTATAAACTGATAACATTGTGGATTTGGTAGATTCATCTGTAAACAAACGAAGAAAATAAATTTAATAACCAAACTTTGATTATTATTTTTTTTCAGTTGTGAATATTTTTGCCTTAAACTATTTACCGGTGGGAGATAGTGAAGAGACGATAAATCGTGATTCCTATGAAACACTGGAGCCGGTGGAATCAAATCATCCGGGAAAGATCCGGTTGGGATACAAGACGAGAACGGGTAAACCGGGCCGGTTCTCTTCGTGGTGGTAGGAAGAATCACCGCCGCCGGAGATTTTTCTGGCGGAGGAAGTGGTGCAGTGGTAGAGATGTGTTTCTCTTCGAGACGGATCTTTTCGAGTTCGGCAACACCAGGACCTCTTCCTGGTACTCTTCTTCTTCTCCCAGTGTCATCATGCTTTTGTTTTTTCAGACACGAACCAGAGTTATCATCTTCATAGTTTCTACTGTTTCTCTTGCTTAGCATTCTTCTTTTTCTTTCTGACCTTTACGTACTTATTTCTAGGTTATCATATTATACACGGGGAAATGGTTGAGTGCAATTTATATAGGAAAAAAAAGTGTTGGAGAAAAAATTGTGGCAAAAGGAGAAATAAATAAAAATATCATTAAAAATCGGAAAGATTAAAGGGAAGTAAATCGGAGAAGAAATCGCCTCTTGTTTCGTCGTGAGAAAAGTTCTAGGGATTTAAGGAATTTTCAAACTCCATGTTTTTAGCTTTCTTAAGATCTCTCTCACTCTTGTTTTAAACACTTGGAGAGAGAGATCATGAATCCACATTTATTTCCGTAATTATCTCTCGGAGAGTTGTTTGTGTATATATGCTTTTCTCCAGTACGTGTTGTATTTCAAAAAAAGGTTTACGTTTGCATGATAAGGCTACAACCTATCTAAATTCAAAATTTCATCATCATAAATCAACGGTTGATTTTATTGATGTTGGTGTAAATGGTTGGATTCATGGGCAAATGTGCATTTACGTTTTTGAGTCTAACGTGCATAAATCAAGGATCAATCAGTTCAGAAGTAGAAAAAATAGAAAATGATGTCATGTTGCTACAACAATGGAACAAATATGAAATTTTAATATAATTCACTTATCGAAAACATGATGAAGACATGCAATTTTGATTAATATTGTGAATGAAAGAATGGCGGAATCACTTTTTGCAAGCGTGAAAACATGATCAAGTGCTCTGGTTACTCTTCACCAGTGCTTTCAAGTCACATTTGCTACAATACTACAAAATGACACTTTAATGTATTATGAAATAATCTGAAACACATCTCCAAATTGTGTTAATAGCTTTTACCCTAATGTCATAAACAAAAGTTAATTATATTAAAAGCTTACAGCTATAACTTAATCATGCCGGATCCAATACCAAAATAATATTTTTCACTTCTATGACTGGTTCGTTTCTGATATATAAAACAGCATGTCAATACATCATTTTGATTTGTATCATAATAATTTACTTGAGGGTTTATTGTATAATCTCTCATGTTAGAACGACATTAGGAACATTTAACAATGTAACTAGACAATGCAACAAGCATTAGGGTTTTCATCACTGAACAACTGTGGAGCGTAGACGTAATGGACGAAGTAAGGTATGTTTCCATCTTTATCTTTCTGGCCCTCAACTTTTACTTTCTCTTTGAACTCCACAACTTGAGTAGTCGTTTTGGTCACTTCTACTTTGACCTCTGCTTTCTTCTTCTTCTCATCTTCTTCCTTTTTCTTCTTTTCCTCTTCTTCCTTCTTTTTCTTCTTTTCCTCTTCTTCCTTCTTCTTCTCTTCTTCTGTCTTTGAGCTTACTATCTCTGCATGTTTGTGAACTTTCTTCCTTATATAGGTTAAAAGTTTTGCAGATTCTATCGTTCCTTGTACCGTTAGCGTTTGAGCTTTTGTATCAGTTTTCACAATGTGAATAGCTGCCAAATAATAAAGTTAGAACCGAACAGCAATACTGAATCAATATACAAACTAAAATGGATCGTTTGAATTTGAATGCTATCTATGCTATCCCCTTCACCTTCATTTGAAACAATTCAAATCCTATACAACTTACCTTTGTGCTTCAAGAGTTTGTTCTGAAGATCTTTGTCACACTTGGCGCAATGAATGTGTACCTTTAGTACTGTCGTGCGAATAACATCCTGCGGATAATTTTCCGAAAACTCTCATAAAATCCATTCACATGCTGACATGAATAGAGGGTAATGATGTTATACAAGCAAACTTGCCTTCTTGACCTCTGTGGTTTTCTTCTCTACCACAGAAGTAGTTGTAGTTGTTGTAGTGGTGGTTTTCTTAACCTCAGAGGGTTTAGGAGAGATGAGCTCAACTTTTTTCTTGCTCCATTTCTCGATTTGCTTGTGAATCTTCACCACTTCTATTTTCCCTTTTACTTTGATTTCGTTCTTCTCCAAATCAACATCCACACCATGTACCCCTAAAATAATATTATTAATCAAATTTAAAATGCTATAAAAATACAACTACTGTGATACAATCACAAATTAGTCTCACTGATAATCAAAATGTGATAGTTTAAATGTTTAATGGTGTTGCCTAGTAAAAACTACTTGTTGGTTTGGATTGATCGACCAAATTATGTATCAGGCTTCGTTATTGCCTCACTTGCCTATGGATAAAATCGCCAAGCAAATAATCTCTACAAGAGTTTAGGCTGGCGACTAAAATTTAAAACCTTCTGAAGAAAAACAATCTCTCGGACATGAAAGAGAAACCAAATGTAAATATACCAATGTATATACTACACATCCAATGCTCAAATGTTTGTACATCAAGAAGAGAGACTATAGTGACACATATTGTCTCTAAACTAGTTGAATTATTACTTAGGTATATATTAACTTGTAAACTTGGGGGACATATATAAGCTTAAACAGTGAGGCCTAACCTTGGAACCGAAGGAGAGGCTTTTTGATGTCGCATGCACATTTCCGGCAGTGAAGGTGAACCTTGTAAACGGCGGTGATGATTTCCTCGCCTTTTTCTTTCTTCTCTTCCTTTTCTCCCATTTGTTCTGCTCTACAAGTCTAAATTAATTTTATTTTTGTCTGATTCAGTATTATTATGTTGAATTTGATTGGTTTTTCCTTGGTCTGAACAACTGCTCGTTGAAAAATGCCAATGAAGAAAACTAGGAACTCAATCACGACAAGAAATATTCTGATAGAAGTTATCTGTAGACTACTAAAATGTAATTTTGAGCAGACAAATATTCTGAGACAATAAATTGGTTTGCATGAGTTTAAAGGTTCGAAGACTGTTGCCGTTCCTTTTCACGATTACAAAAGATGGTTAGGAACGAACGGATATGATATTATAACAGTATATTTTTCATACCAGATCGTAGTTAAATATGGATATGCTCCAATGGATAGGAGTTTTCAGATTCTACTTAACACGTATACGCCATATGAAAGCTATTTAAAATCTCCGATCCATATGTTTATTAGCCACGAAAACATGACAGAAAGTATAGTTCCTCAAAAGATTGATTAGGGATAATATTTATTAGGATTTTACATATTATGCCTAAAATACAATAGAATACATTAGATAATCTCACAATAGTCTGATTTTTAATTAAAACGTCCATTTGGTCGTGCCAACCCTTCAACTACTTCGTTCGAATTTGTTAACGGTGGTTTACCAGTTGTCCAGTTCCATTCGTATTTTAATATTTTTTAAGCTAGCTAACAAATTATATGCGTGAAAAGATGATTGTGTCAGTATGGACTATGGATGAAGCAAAACAAGTTTAACTAGGTAACTTTTATGCCTTACTGAATGGTATTTCTTAAGAAACCAATTCAAAGGAAAATTGACATGCAACGTCTATGTATTAGAGATAAAAATATCACATGGGTAGTTAAAATAGACCTTTAGTAGTATATAAAATAAGTGGACCATTACACTTATCACCAATTAGTTTTAGATTAACATGATATCAGAGGTCAATCCAAACAATCCAACCCGATCCATTATCGATCCAGTGCAAAGTCGGTCCATCGATCCTTGTCTAAACATTTTGAGATTAATGTTCAAAAGCCATCATCTCAAAGAGGTATATTAGGGTTAAAGATCTCACATTGATAGTTGGAATAGATCCTTAATAGTATATAAGATAAAATAATCATTTATCATCAATTGATTTTATGTTAGAAATTTATCTAGATTAACACTAGCTATGAATTGGTATAAAGATAAAATGTTTAGGAAAAGGTAAATTGGGCATAATATCTATTATGATTTTTCATATTATGCCTAAAATACAATAGAATACATTAGACTATCTTACAATAGTCTGTTTTTTTTAAGTTAAAAGTTCATTTGGTCGTGCCAACCCTTCAATTACTTGGTTTGAATTTGTCAACGGTGGTTTACCAGTTCCATTCGTAATTTAATTTTTATAAGCTAGCTAACAAACTATATATGTGAAAAGATGATTGTCAGTATGTATGAAGCAAAACAAGTTTAACTAGGTCTTACTGAATGTTATTTCTTACAAAACCAATTCAAAGAAAAATTGACATGCAATGTCTATGACTGGTATAAAGACAAGATGTTTTGAAAAAGGTCAATGAGGCATAATATCTATTATGATTTTTCATATTATGCCTAAAATACAATAGAATACATTAGATTATCTCACAATAGTCTGTTCTTTTTTTAATTAAAAGTTCATTTGGTCGTGCCAACCCTTCAATTACTTGGTTTGAATTTGTCAACGGTGGTTTACAAGTTCCATTCGTATTTTAATATTTTTTTAAGCTAGGTAACAAACTATATATGTGAAAAGATGATTGTCAGTATGTATGAAGCAAAACAAGTTTAACTAGGTAACTTTTAGGCCTTACTGAATGTTGTTTCTTACAAAACCAATTCAAAGGAAAATTTACATGCAATGTCGATGACTGGTATAAAGACAAAATGTTTTGAAAAAGGTCAATGGGGCATGCTGAGAATCAAATTCAGGAATTCTCGCACCCAAATTGAGAATCATACCACAAGATCAAATGCCCTACTGATAAACATATTAGATATGAGGTTAAGTGTCACCACGTTGGTACAATGTGAATATGTTCTCTCAGTTTATTGTAGCCAAATAATGAAGGTCGTATATGATATTCTTATATATGCGCAACCATTTTTTATTTCTATAAGACTTTGTTAACTAGGAAAAATATTCAGTTCGATAATTTTTGCTATAAATTTATTACATTAATGAATACATTTTTACGATTATGAAACTTGTTTCGTTTTTCTAACTTCATTGTTAAAATTATTCTCATTTTTAATACAGTTAGCAAAGCTAGGATTAAAATTTGTTTATGGCTTTAGTTCATCAGTTGATTACTCGCACCTAGTACCGAAAACCAAGCCAACGAAAAATTCACGTGCAACATCTATGAACTGATGAAGACAA